CATATTACATCTCTGTAGTATGAGTCATGTCAGCATGTCAAGCCAAATCCACAAAGTATTTCCATTATATCTTCACCCTGAGTACCGTGTAACATTACCAAAGGCTGTTCCCTCTCCTTGTGGTTTTGCACACACCTAGTCCCTGTCACATTATAAAATCATTTTAATATGCATCTATTGTGAATGAAAATACAGCAGAAATATAGGGACAAAGTTGTTTGGTTTGTTTTTTTTTATCCTCTGTTCAAGAGTTGGCCAAGTTTTCATGGTGAATTTCACGTAGCTATCTATTTGCATGAATTAAAATCCAGACTTTTTTGCATCTTCATGTTCTTCTCTTCAGTAATCTTTATGTAGAAATGTCAAGATAAGTTTATCCTTTACTAAAATAAAAATAATCTACCAAAGGATTATGTAGGCCAGTATTTCATTAACAGTTTTGTCTTTCAGAGAGTATGTTCAAATCACATGAAGTAGCCCAAATATTTTTCTGCATCTTTGAATGGACAGGCTGTCTTCTAGATCATATGCCTGCGGCCAAGACAGTCCTACTGTAATAAAGGTCTTTCTAAACGAGGAAGAGGAATTAATGCGCTTCATTTAAGTAAGGCACACATTTGGGTGGCAAAAGGCAGTGTAAATCAGAAAGGAAGAGAGTGGCAGAAGTTGAAGCAGACTGTAGGGTTGATACCTCTCCAGCATGGCTGTAGGAGTGAAGGTGAATTCGGGGTTGTGCTCGAGGGATGCTTTTTATGTGTGGATTGAAGTTATTTCCCATACATGCGTGAAGGTCCTGGGACCAGCAGCTCATTTCTGCTAGACTGTCCTTGCTGCCGTTGGCTGCTGGCCAACCTGCTCCCCTCACAAAGTGCCTGCATTGACTGTACATCTGCCAAGTGCCAAGTCAGATGCAGGTGATATGAATGGCCAGGACACAGATCCGAAGAGCTGCACACCAGGCAGCTCTTGCCCACCCACAGTGTACAGTACGTGCTGTCAAAGCCCATTATGTACAGCAATATGCCACAGTGCAGAACTGCAGCTGTGAGGGAGACAAAATGCACAATGCATAATTGTGCACAGCAGCAGTCCAGTCTCTAGCAGTCTGCAGCTCCCTGTTGCGTTTACTCCAGCAGCAGGGCACGTTTGTCACACTGCAGCCCCTGAACACATGCGCAGAAGGAGGGGAGGGAGCTATGATTGAGAAGCATTTGTCATTTGATTGCATGTCCCTGGCCCTTCATGTTACCTGCCACATGTCATAACAGCTGCTCTAACTTAGGTTTATTAGCATGAGGCTGGTTGTGTGCAGCTCTTCTACCAAGTGTGGAGCAGGGAAGAGGCTCTCGGTACGTTCCCCCTTGCCAATAATGTCTCTCAGGGTGTGCACTCTTCAGAGCCAAGACCATCTCAGAGTGCACAGAATATGCTTCATGTTGTCCTGGGACATTTGTTTTACCTCTTATGTTGAAAAGCAGCAGACTCCATGGTGTCTCTTTAGAGCCCTACATGCCTAATTGTGTTTGGTCAGGTGACAAATGAGGTGTAATCTTCTACCCCAGCCGTCAGTATCACCGAGATGTCCCAGAGCCACAACACAATCAGATGCTTGATTCAAGCACTGGAAGTATGGTATGAAAATTGCTCATGCAATATTGGCAGGAAAGTTTCTCTGAACTTGTCAGCACTGTAATTGTATCAGTCATCAACGGCTCTGGGCCACACATTGCCAACAGGATACAGAGCTTCAGGGTTGTTTAGAATTTACCCAGAATCCTCAATTTCAATGTTACCATAGGGATAAGAAATGAAATCTTTCACCTTTCATTTACTGAACACAACTGCTGCGGGAGCATTGGCATGGTTCTTTCTTAAGGGCCATCTCCCACATGGAGCCGATGACGAGTGGCATTGTAATTAGTAGTAATTTATTAACATTCTGTTTGCTTCTCTCTAAGAGAGAGGAAACAAGAAGTCTCCAATTGGGTTCCTGTGGTTGTCAGCTTTATCCTCCCACCTTGTGTTGCGCATCTGCCTGTCCTCTCTTTCCACTCTTTTGATTGTGCTTTTGAATATTTCATACAGCCTCTGTGAGGACTGGGCACTACCAACTGTTGTAACACAGGTAATAAGAACTGATGAATAATACGCAGCAGCAACTGAGGCTGTGGAGTTTCACAAATGCCACTGATTCCTGAGTTATCAGAGCCTTCCCAAGTCTGTTTGCTTAGTGACTAAAGGCATGTTCTCTTCAGCTCAGTAGGAGAATTGATGGTGCCCATCCTGAGAAGGCGCTTTGTGAGAAAGAACCGTTTGCATTTGACCTTGATGGCTATCATGGATATGTAGTCAGTAGAGAATTAAATAGCCTCCTTGCTTTTCATACACCTTTCACCTATACGAGATAGTTACATGTAAAATCTAGATGTCACTGAGGTTTGTAATGGTCCCTGAATGACTTCAGAATGACAGAGCAGTAATTGTGTCAGATGTCCATTATAAAGCCAGGAAATGTTACTGCGTATCATAAAAGACTACTATGAATATGGACGGAGTAATTAATTAGAAAAGAATTCAAGTGAGGTACTTTATTTGAAAATAACGTAAGAAAGGGGTTAGGAAGTGGAAAAATTTGGAGAAAAAAGGCATATGAATTTGAAGCTATGAAGACTGGGTGTATGCTTTTATTTTGTAATGAAGTTGGTGTTATAATTTTGGGGATGAGCATTACTGTAGACCTGTGACATTTTATCAGACTGAGAAGTCTGAGTAAGGCAAGGCTCTCAGAGGTGCAGCCCTTCTCTTGGCGTAGTCTGTGAAGTCAGAGGAGCGGGCGCCTGCGGCAGCTCTGCCTGTGGGAGCAGAGGCCGATGCTGTTTGTGCCCTGGTTGTAACAGCTCCGGTGTGGCTTAGCAGAAGCAAATGTTTAAAGTGAACAGGGTTCTTTATTTAAATAGCAAAACGGTACGACTTGCAGTAGTCTGTTATGTTTCTTAAAGTGGTTTTGTTACAGAAAATCCTGTTCCACCCCACCTTTCCAGCATTACCGATGTAGCAAGGCCTCCAGGCAAGCAGGGGCTCCAGGTTGCGCTGAGGACCCAGCTCAGTGGAGCAGCCACGGGCATGGCGAGCAAAGTGTTGCTAATGGTTCCCCATGCTTGCTTTAACCGTAGGTTTGGCTAATACAGGGCAGCCTGAGAACAAGCCCGCGTTAGCCCTCAGCAGCAAGACAAGGCCAGGCATCAGATGCAGGGGGAAGCTGGGGGTGCCCTGCCATTGACGTCAATGGGAGCAGGGCCCGCCGGCCCGCAGGTAGCCGTGGGAAAGGCTCCACGGAGCCAGGCCGCCTGTGCCCTGGCCTGGGGCAGCCTGGGCAGGGTGCCCGGCGGTGCCTGGCCTGCACCCCATGATGGTGGAGGGGGAATTAGGCTTTGAGGGCTGCGAGGGTGCTGGCTGCCGGAGGTTAGGCATCGCGGCCGCTTGTAAATGCAGGTTGTTTTGTTGAACAGCAGCTCCGAGATCGTGAGTGAAAGGCCTGATTCAAAACTCCGGCCAGATGCAGGACTGCGCTTGGAGGCTTTTTGTTCCCCTGTTTAAGTGTTTGGGGTTTGTTTGGGCCAGAAGTGTGCCCAGGGCTCGGGGTTGAGTCACAAGGATCAGTCACCATGGAGAGTGCAGCAGGGGTTGTTTAATTCACTTAATTGAGACTACCTGAACCTCTGGTTTAAATTACTGTGAGCGCTCAGCAACAAACACGAGTATCCCCTTCTTGCTCCCCACGGTAAAGCAAGCTCCTGAAACACCAAAGCCTGAAGCCGTTAGCATCCCCTCCGAGGGCCGAACCTGCACAGGCGAGAAGGCGTTAAAGAGAGAAATGGGCAGGTGAAGGGGCTGCCGGCTGGGCTCCCGGCGAGGGGCTGCGGCTGGGCCCGGCCCGGGCGGGCGCCTCCTCCCCGCGGGAGCCGCTCC